TACATAGAGTTTCATCCCAGAACGGATATTGACAATAATGAAATAAGTGCATACAAGTTCAATATAAATCCTCATATCCCCAATAAGTGCCCGGGGCTTGAGTCATACATGTCTGTCACACGTATCGATCCAAAATTGCCATTCACTTTGGCTCTCGTGGAAAACTAAGCTAGGGTCCTCGAGAAAGACACTAATTTGCAAATCAATTTGGTTTTCACGAGAGACTCAATTTAATCTCTCGTTTATAATATTCTACGACTGAATACGCTGCACACAGGCCGCCTCATGATTCATTTGGTACGATATTCGAGATATCGCAGTATATTTTCATAAAGGAACCTACTCACAAGGTTGCTGAACACTCTTCGACAGGACACGACCGGTTTCACCCTTCTTGGGGCTCATCAGGTAGGCGCAGTCCTCGAGTTTCCGTCAGCCTTATGTTCTGCTTGAACCCAAATTGGAACCAAATTTATTTGCAAATTAGTGTATTTCTCGAAAATAGTCCAATTCGGGTTCAAATAGAACGTAAGGTTGAAGGAAACTCGAGGACTGCGCCTACCTGATGAGCCCAAAACAGAAGGGCGAAACCGGTCGTGGGCTGTCGCAGTGTTCAGTAAGCGGATAAAGCAATGGCACTTCGTCAGCTGTCTAGTTCATTTCGACACAACAGCTTTTGTGATGAACCATCTGGTCACCCAGCCATTTGCCGATGACTGACTATAGAAGCTGACAACACAATCTAGCTTCCTTGCGAAGAATCCAGATATGAGTCTATATCCAGGTGTGTGATACGAATAAATGCGATATTTTGGTTAGCCCCTGAACACCCTTAGGAAACTTACTAGTATCCACAGAACTAAACAGTGAAATAGAAGTTGATGTCAGCCTTTCTGTTCACACAATGTGCACTCGGGGTTGTACCCTAAAATAACTACGCAAAAATGCATTTATAGTTCAAGCCAACCGTCCGCGCACTACGCAAAAATGGAACAATAACAGAACGGTGGGACAATACAGTATGTCATCTCGGCAACAGTACTAGAATATATTTGTGATTGGTAAGGTTAAAAACCGCGAACCTAAGAGTTGATAAATTATCTATTCACGTACCAGCAGACCGAACAACAAGCTCAGCCTGTTTGAAAAACTAAGCGAAACCGATAGGTGTACTATAATTCCCCACTTGTTTAAAAGCCCTTACTTAGAACTTGTCCAAATTGACACAGTAAATACTGGAGTAACTCAACAGTGTAAGTTGAGGGGATATGGTCAGAGAGAGCAGATTTTGAAAACGTAGTGAAAGTGGTAAATACAAATGTTATGTGATCGCCGCAGGAAGTTAACTACATAATAAAAAGAGGATGGCTAAAAGAGCAGGCCCCAATTCAAGAGTATCCAAGATAACCACCGTGAATTTATTTCTCCTTGATGACACTGACCAACAAAATTTTAATTCACATATATCCAATGTTAGAAACAAGATTGGTGGAAATTCATGGAATAGGTTCGTCCAATGAGCTCCAAAAACAGTGAAACCGGTGGTAAGCTGTCCAAGAGTCTTCATCGACTCCATATGACGGGAAATATTCAGGAGTCAATAAAATTGTTCCAAATGAGACATGATGGGACTTTATATAACACGTGCAGTTGGAAAAAGCCTACGAAGAGAGGCACTAAGCTGAGATTCACCTGAATTGTATTTTAACAAAACCCTGCTCTGTAAAAGAATGTTCATCTGAGTTTATTACTGGCTTACAACACACATCGGTTCATCGATCATCTTTCGCAAACATACACATTCATATCTTGGTTACTCTCTTCAAATGTATTCAGCCATTCACGTAGTGTTTTTATATTCCTTTGCAACGTGCTGTAAATTCGCATCTTGACTTTACAACTCTCCTAACAGTAAAAAAAAATCACACACTCAATGTACGAGCACAGTATGACTCGTTCCCCCACCATCTGAATCAATCTCGTGGTGCTGCTCTCGAGTCTGTACTACTGTGCCCTGTCAACAGTTCAGCGGGTATCGATATCGTTTCAGGATGCAGCGCGGCACCGTGTAGGACGCATTCGTTACACTGTTGCCAAAACCATGCACGTTTTCTCATGTGCTAACCATACTAGCCAGTGCTGAAGCTAGAGAAGCTAACGACTTGACGAAATTAATCAAAAGAAAAAACACCATTGCCGAAAGTTTTGTTCATAGTTAAGTTACAGATATCGGTATTCCTCCAATGCGACGACACGCTGTTACAAACACAGCGGCATAACACGGATTTTGGACGGGTATTTTGCAAGCGAACCATGGTATATTATACAGGAGGCCAGTAACAGATAGACAGGAATTATCAATTTTCTATGTTTTCTGATAATTTTTGAGGGCGGAAGCAATTTCAAGCAAGTAAAACCACTAACTACTGGGCTGACTGGATTTGGTCGACCAAAAGTTTTCACAAAAAACTGACCTGCAAAGTGTGGTTGGCTTGGAGTTATTGGTGTTGATTGCCCAGTGACATCGACAGCGTCTAAGAACGAAATATTGGATGCATCCGTGCAGGTCGGAGACAGTAGCTTGGTGTCAGGAAGCAGTAACGTATAAATATAACAGCCGAATATAAAAGCGTGCGCGGGATTCCCAGAAGCGTGGCGGATCCAACCAGCGTCTAGCAAAGTCTGTCATATAAACAGCAAAAACAGCTTATGCTCATCATGAAAACCAGAAGTGTACACTGGCAATAAGTAGGATGGAGGATTTCTGCTTTAACTACGTGCAGAGGTATGAAACATAACGAATTAGTCCTCTATATGACACTAATCATAAGGTTGGCGCTTTTCAAACGGGATCCCGGTCTACTTTCATAGGACAGATCAGTATTTGAGTAAGGTACAACCATCGCGGTAGTTGGTTCTGGTGGGATACCGAACACGTCCCATAAAAGTTATTAATGGAGATTTACGACACACCTATTTGGTTTTCATGGGAGACCCGCCCTAATCCAAGCTGAATCACTCGTTTACGAGGTTCTTCGACTGAATGCGCTGCACCAGCCCACCTAATGTTTCCTTTGATACGATATTCGAAATATCACGACAAATTGTATAGACACAACATACTCCTCACAATGTTGTTGAAAACTCTTTGTCAGCCCAGTCAGCAACCTTTTGAACATTTTTTTACGTTCAAATAATCGGTCTTGTCTCCAGGTTGTGTCCGCGTGGCGATATACACCATATACTTGACTGTGTTAAGGCTTCCAAACCATTCGAACCGTGCGCAATTACATCCGGGAACGTACGCCACTCTAACTGAGCCAAGACTTATGAAACAGTGACGATTCCATTAGCACTGAACCTATTAAGTTCCCGTGTTACGCGGCACATAAATTTCTGCGCTTTAACAATAGTGAGAAATTGTGGTAAAAGTTGCTTTCATTAAAGACGTCGCGCAGCCGTGACATCTCGATGAACAGCTACCACGTTGTCAAAGCAGGGATAACAGAAATCAAGAAGTGTGGGGTGGATGTGGACCGAGAAACTCCTGGTCAGCAACCCGCGTCTGAAACAACTTTAACCAAAGGATGTGTAAAACGCTTTTTCCGCTCCAAATTCGGACTGGCACAAGCCTAGGGATGATTAACCTCTGACCTGACAGAAGAATATGCAAGCGAGTACGAAAAGTCTGAGGGACTCCCCTTGGGTCTGGTTACACTGGGTCTGGAAACACTGTCAGACGTGACAAGTAACTGATATCAAACTGCTGGAATTAGTGTCCAAAAGTGGAAGCACCGGAGAGAGCTTGTGGTAGGCCAGAACAATTTCGCTATCCAATTCCATCCTTCCCTTCAAAATTGGAATATCAAGCAAATATCGGTTGAAGCATCCGTGCCCAACACTGGTGATGAGCTGATGTAATACTTGTAAGTGAGATCATCATCTGATCTGGGTTGTAAGAAAAGTTATTTCACTATGCGCAGTGAGTAAGCACTGCGACTTTCTATCCACTAAAACTTCCAGCTATGAAGCGTGATTTGATGTTACTGATCACCCTTTCCAAAAGGCACGTCACCTGAAATGTAGTACGTCAACCTACATGAAATGAGTTGATTGCTGGAATATATTCCGAAAGCACATCAGTTCATTTGGCCTCAGGCCAGGGTTGTCACACAGCACGGACAAGTGTATTTACGGTCTCCAACGTCCATGAATGAAATGTGAACCCAAGCCGAGAAGCCGACTAACAATTAATACTTATCAGCAGCGCTAGGCAGTCAAGTTTGTAGAAGGCACGACTCATCCTATCTATGAAAAAACCTGAAAAGATGAGAGACACGTAATTCTACCAACGTTCCACAAACTAAACGGGACTTCTAGCTCAGCTGTATCTCTCAAGTTGCGTCGAACAAACAAAAACCAGCAAAACTATAGAGTATAGACGTAATACGCTACTCAAAGGGTTGCTGAGGACTCTTCGACAGCCCACAACCAGTTTTGCCCTTCTTGGGATTCCGATGTAGCAAGTGAAACATGAGACGACACGATGCAGCCAATTCATCGGAGAACATCACAAACGATAGATTCATCTGGCTTCCAGGTGAGTCTTTCGTCAAAACCAAATTGCTGCACAGGCGAGTGCATAAGTTGAAAAAATATGCCGTCTTATGTGAAGTTTTGCATTAGTGTACTTTTTACAGCAAAAAAAAGTAATCTGGAAAACGAGTAGTGACCTGCTGATTACTGTTATCATACAAAGAGCCTTTGACAACGTGATAAGGAAATTGGGTAGCATGAGCCTGGACTGGCGAGGAACTCGTGGAGTTTAGTAGTAATAAACTACTTATAGACCTGGACGGATGGAAGTACAGTAGATGAAAATGCCCAGAAGGAAGAAACAGGATTTGCACTGCTTATGGTACTGTTTATCCCGTAGAATTCTCCACTCAACCTGCCCAAAGGAAAAATAACAATCGGACAAGAAAAAATTAGTTCGCTACTTGGTTTCCGAGCTGAGGAACTACGGGTTCATCTTGGTTCGAAAATGGAATCAAATGGAACTATTCGCTCTTAGAAAGGGGTAGAGACCATGTGAACTCCGTGATCGGCTTTCTAGACGAAAACAAGATAGTCAGTTCCCGTGGCGGAGAAAACACTCACCAGAAAGACCATTAGGTGATAACATCGTGGCTATCTGCAGAGATTAGCACAAGCTCTCAAAACACTGTCAGTTATGAAGATGGGTCGGCTCATCTGAAATAGGGTGTTCGACGTTTGCTAGAAGTTTGACTCACCTCAAAAATTAAGTGACCAACTTTACTGAGTCAAACTAGCGTACTACACACTAGAACTCGAATCGGATTGCTGGACTTCACAAAATAAAACTGGGAAATGTTTCAATAGTTCCATACACTTCAGCAGTTTACTGTTGGATAGCTGTGTTATAAATGTTCAGGTTTAATTTGACTATACCCATATCGAAGAATAGCCATCAGCTGCTGCGTTCAGTAGGGAGATTGAGACAAAACCTGCGAAAATCATCTTGACCCGAGAACGGTAAAGCGGCTAAAGCGGTGCACAGGAAAATGTGTTGATGAAATTCGTGTGATCTACTTGAAAAGGTACCAAGGTAGTGGGCTGAAATATAGGGGGACCTATTCTTGCTTATGTGACATAGAAACACTTGCTAGCACCATGAATCACCAACAAAATGGTGATTGCCTAACTTTTGCCTCTTTCGTTGGACAAGCATATCTAACCTTTAAACGAAACAAAGCAATTCAATCCAGATACAGAGTGGAGCGGTATTCTTTTTCACGTGACAGATTGCCACGTCCGGAAAAGTGGAAAACACGATTTCAAATGTCAGCACAAAAGCATCATGAGCTTGTTTAGTAAAACGTTGAAACCCTGGTTATAGTTACTGATGATTTTAGTGCGAAAGGGGAGATTGATCTTTAAATTCTGGCCCTGTGATTATGTAAAACTCAAAAGGAATTTGGAAGAAAAGGTCACAGAAATAGCTCTGTACACGAACATGAGACAACGGAAACAATCCAAAAAGTACAAAAACAGCTTGAACATGGAGATAAGCCCGCATTTCGTCGCTCCAACGATAATAATCGATATACTTTTGAATGTAACGAATCCATGCCATTGTACGCACATACCACTGGGTAATCACCGGAGACTTATTACACTCCGGAACGCAAAACGTTTGAGTGACTGCTGTGGTTGTCGAGAGATCGGGGAAAGAGAGGCAATAATTACGCGAGACCGTACCCAGCCAGTATGGGATGCCTTTCAGAGATTCCTTAAACAGAGAGGCTACTTTACACACACCAAAAAGCAATACCTATTTCTCGTACGATGTGGTACAGTTGGAGTCTGACTGCGTCACCGAAGCATCGGAAGCACAAACGACACGACACACTGACAAAATCCGGAGCTAAAAGCAGTTCATCCGAAGACTCCATTACCCGTTGCCCCATCAAAAGATATACAACACCACTATGCCATGTGTAATTACCGCGTCATGTTCCTGACGGCAGGCGAATGTAAACCACTTAGTGCGGGAACTGTACGCGTGTGCAGTGTAATCCGGGTATAGGAATTAGGCCAAAGCACATTGGCGGCTGTCCACAAAGAAGTTGGACGCTTAGCCATAACAGTGTGCACTGTGCGGATAGGCAATAAATATGTAATAGAAAATATGTTCGTGTTGGTCTGTTTCCAGTGAGAATCAACAGCATCCATCGACGTGTGCATTTGCGGAGGTTTGTTGATCTACCCTGAGACTGGCGAGCTATTATGACATGAAAAGCCTGACCCGGTTTGCAACCGTAGGTAGAATAAGGAGCAGCGACTACCAGATTCAGATTCGTGCGGTTTTCACCCCCAAGGACGGAACAACGTTTATTTAATGACCAAATCCCAGTCAAAATCAGACATATTTTACCAGGATTACATCAAACAAGTACGAGGAGCTGAAATCAGACTGTGAAATTCTACGAGGTGACTGATGTTCCACTGAGAGAATACGTAAGAGTGAAGGCGGTGTTTCATCAAAGTCTGGTTTGTAGCCCTTCGGAAAGCTGTTGAGTGCAGTTTATTTGGATTAGAGTGGGAAACGGCAATCAGATTTTGTTACACGACTACAGTCATTCTGGTCTAATTCATCGTTTTTATTCTTTTTCCGTGTCCGGCAGGGCACAAATTTCCTCTGTCGTGCTAAAGGTAGCTATTGGAATCACGCGTTGAAGCAATACCATAGGATAATCCTGGATCTTTTAAACTACCTAGGGGAGCACTGATTCGGTAAGCAACTGTAGCCAACATACTGCTGAGTCAACTACTGTGAATACATGTAGTAGCCAAACAAACCGAATGTATTCAGTCCCTAATATTCAGTAGATCCATGAGTCAAAACGAAAAGTTACTATTTCAATAATAACGTCTCATATCAGCCCAACTTCGAATTATCCCAACAAGGGAGGCATTGTTGTGGCAAACGGATGATTGCTTGGGAGGCCAACGTTTCCAATTTCAGGGAACACGATGTCATAGTTTACACTCTAAGGGGAAACTTCCGATAGGGAACTCCACAAAACAGTCAGCTCATAACCATGAGTCTGAACAAATTCAACAAACCTCCTTATTTATTCTGGAGGGACGTTTGTAATTGCCGAATTGTTTGGCAGAGTAACGGAGAACGGTTTTGAGCCGACCGAAAAATGGTCAAAACAGAATAGGGAGTTTTGTGTGAATTTCGACGCGAAATCTTCAATATAGGGTTTACATTCTATAGAAGACAGAACGTTTTCAGATCGGTCGACAGAAGGATAAAAAGTGCGTATTCACTCAACCTACCACACGCGTTCAGGTCAGAGCCACAAAGCCGCAAATGAAGTACGTTACCACATGGCGCTCTATCCGCAACCAGCGCGTAGTTGAGCACAAACATAAAAGGTGGTCTATAATTTAAACATTGCTTCGTAGGCGTGAATAAAACGCCCTACATTACAACGTTGTAGGGCACTTTTAAGAAGTAACAGCAAATCGGGCTAACACATTATCTCCCTTTGTCGGTAATAAAAAAACAGGAAAAAGCCGAACACCGAAATGTACAAAGGAGGAGAAAAAACTAAGCTGACAGGTATGATGATACGAGGAAGAAGTGGTCACATAAGGGATGCAGCCAGCTGCGGCGGAAAATGGTTCACGAAGGATTATTTTACCAAAAGTCTCAAACCTGTTCCAAATTGTCTCTGAAAAGCGGATATACGGGTGATACGAAGTAATACGAACATGTGATAGTAGGCTGCGAGGGTAAATCGTTGCCAGTTTGAGTAGGTGGCGGCTGGAGAAGTGGCGCCACACCGACTTCGGAGAAACCATACACATTATCACACACCTCAAACACAAAAATAACAATGGTGTGATAAGGAGATTCTATACGCACCTGTAGATAAGATACTGCTTGTTCCACCGTTTCGATATCGGAGAGCCATTTCATCGTCCAAACCACCGCATCGAACGACATAAATGTACGTTCGGGAAATGCAGTTGTACCAACAGCTTGGATAAACGGCACGCCATTCCTGAAATTGAGGAGAATAGATAGATCAGAGACCTGGATGAGGGCACTGGGCGTCAGCCGGAACAAACTGGACATGTGACAGAGCATTCAAAAAACATCAGTTAACTTCCAAACGGGATGCGTTCAAAGTATGACAAGAGCTATTAGCTATAACCAAGTTTTCTTCTACCCAATCGTGTCACAGCCTACCAGTCAAAGCCAAGTACAATTGCTCGAATCAATTGTTCCAGCCATTCGGTTTGATCAAAAGTAGAATATTAGACGATCGGTTACAGCCCATCAACGCAAAGCACAGTTGAAAGAACGAACACAGTGCATCTTAGTAATCTGTTGAAAATCATGATCCCAAACGAAGGAGAAACCGGTGTAAGTGTGAAGAGGATGCCAACTCAAAGCTAGCCGTCTTTGGCTACATAAAGTTTCCGGTCACTTATTTCTGGTCGTTCACTGACTATATCTATATAACGAAAATGCTCAGCAAGTCAGCAATGGCGGTCAATGGTCATTCTCAATATCCAAGGTCTTCTGTGCGTCAAACGGCTTAAATTACATGCGTACTGTTGGAAACAAACCGTGCAGAGAAACAGTGTGAACGTTATTGGTGTTCCCTAGTTCAAAGTGGAAACTGAACTCTGTACGGACACATGCAAGCTGGGATCCACCAGCAGCAAATTCCGTCAGGTAGTGTCAGCGTCTCATCAGTCAGCATGTGCGCGATTCCCAACGGTCTATAGACCTTCCCTACCGTCATAACCCTCATGGTGCAAAAACTGATAATAGAGATCAGTTAGTATTACTTTGGTTACGTCTGAAAATGTGAGCAGGATTTATTTCCGAAACACACACGTGTGGTTGGTTTCCGCAAGCAAACATGTCGTTCGCATGGAAAGCGAATTAAAACCTAATGCAAAATACCTTTGCGTGAATCGAAGCTTGGGTTGTTTGTTGATCACTGAGGAGAGGCGCTCACTGCATCTGTATCCCGGATTGAAATGAAGACCACTCTAACAGCATGATGCCACGCAAATTACTGGCCACTGACACTGTAAACGTAAGTGCTGTCATTCTCGCGCATCCTGTCAATTCGGTAAGTGAGAGTTCGGCTGGTACGAGAGACCCTAGTGATCATTTGCCAAGCGGTAATAACTTATCTAGTTTCCAACCGCACCATTCTCGTTCAAATTTCACCAAAGGCCTAATATTCATAAGGGGCATTTGGTCGGTAACGTTGAAAGTTCGGAATCACGCTATACAACAGTGCCGAGTTCCAACATAGGATATAGCTAACGGGCAAAGAACATACGCTTACTCGGAATCTGCCATCAAAATAACGATGCATGGGAGTGGAGTGCTGGATGCCTTCAAGGAAGACCACAAAGATACCAAGGTGGGATGCGCAGTACGAATCGGTGTTACGTTGCCAGCTGGAGGAAGATCAGATGCCGACCCAAGTGAGTCCATTGACGCGGGAATAGAAGTGATGCACGTCTGGTCGTCCGTCGCACTGTTTTGAACGATGTTGAGGTTCGTCTCGCTGCCTGAAGTCGACTGCGAGGTACTAGCAAGTAAACCGGTCAGAAACCGTTGAAACGGGACCGTTGTTCCAGAGGGCACAACAGCACCAGCTGTGGAAGGGCATCGAATTTTTCCGGCAGCTGATAAAGTATCTGCCATGGGACCCGCACTGCTGCTCGAAAGGTCACGCGCTCGCTGAGACATTTCAGGTTTATCTACAGTGGACTATGGATGCATTAAAACGAAAGGCGATTTTCACTTGATCAGTGAGACGAGTTGGAAGAAATTAGAACACAGCCACATGAGCGACAAACTGAATAGACAAAACCAAACAAACATGTGGCAAACTCACCAGATACTGTGACCCTGTCTGTTTTGAGATAGGACCGTTCAGACGAATGGTGAGTAAAAACATGGACATTCGGTCCAATCTGAGAGCGACGGTGATCAGAGAGGAATCACAATGAAACTTCCGATCAAACAGTGGATTAGGAATAGCTACTGAAGTCACGTCTGAATCCAAGTTTCGATGGACGGAAGACGTTTGAAAAGGGTCGAATTTATTGCGCAAGATATCTTACATATGGACCATTCAAATGCAGATCAACACCAACTTCTGTAATATTATGACATTTGCAGTACACAAAGGTCTAGAAGGTCATCATGAGTAGCTATGGCAAACTCCGTGTTGTTGTACTAGTGACAAAAAATTGAGATCGAGTAAGAATTACGTTCCTATGGCATAAACGGGATTAAAGTAACATGGCAAGATCCTTTTGGACTCGAGTCGAAGTCTAAAAAAGTTGGGAACAGTAAATATCATCTGCTTGTTTCCAGTCACGGGTATCGAAGTGAACTCAAGTCGTCATATTTAAATAGGTGTTGATTTGATGAGGACAAACAAATGCAGTGTGCATAGACTTTTGGACTGCTCGCATTCAAGGGGCGGATCAGATCAAAAGTACACCACTAACAGCCACGAACACAAGCGAAAATTCGCGCCACAGCTGCTTGCGTCAAGATCCAACTATCAAAGTAAGGAATCATCCATTGGACAGTTGTTCACACTCACAAACCATTTGTATAAATTGTGTCAGTCAATCTGATTAGAGCAGAACGAACTGGTGATTACGAATTGAGCACTAAAGCAAACAGGGCGCACAAATGAGCTATACTGTCACCACCAGCGAAAAAACATCAGGCCAGATGAATCAGGGATAAAAGGCCGCTATGCATACCCCGGAACGTATTTCGGTTAACTGACATGGTTGGCATCCAAACTGGATGCAGAGAGAAAGGAGAATAGACCCACATATAAGATATATCAACAACGAAATGCTTTAGCAAGGACTGAATATGACGACCAACCAACGAGAAGTGGGTAAGCGAATTTGGGCGATCTCCTAACAGATTAATCCGGAAGAAGGGGGAAAGCACAGGAACCATGGAGAGAAAACGCGCACCAAAAAAGTGTACCGAATCAGCCAAAAAAAACCCAAGGAAAACCAAATTATTACCGCCCGAATTTCGGTAAACGCACAAGTACCGAATCGCCAAAAAAAACCAAAGAAAACCAAATTATTACCGCCCGAATTTCGGTAAACGCACAACGGGGTACCATTGTGAACATTTTTGAGAAGGCATATCTTTACATCAGGCCGCTATCACCCTGTATCAGGACTCTATAGGAAAAAGATGTGAAAATCACTCCAAGAAAAGTTGCGTTACGTCGAGAACTGACTGGTGTTACCTGAGTTGAAATAAGAGCAAGCGTTATACGCACCTTAAACGAAGCACATCCGATAACACAGAAGACACTCCGCAAAAGTAGCATAAAAAATAAACGCTCACACGAATACTAGGCCTTCTCGCTATGGATCCACCATGAATTAGTCAGACAAGTAAAAGTGACAAACTATGATCAAGTTCGAAATCCAACAAGGATTCACTCAGTTGAAGGCGCGTGCGGTACAGAAAAAACAGGTGTACAATCTATGGACGTCATCCCGCGTGCTTCCTGGGAGAATCTCAGCAGGACGCAATGTAAGGGTTAAGCGGCACAGAGTCGTCACAGCAGGAGGTCGCATTTTGATTGGCTAAGTCGGATACGCAAACTCACGTCGCAGCATGCTATCGTTGTAAAGACGGCTGATCTGAGAGACAATTACATAATTCCCTTGGTTTTTGCTCCAGTTGCGGAGATCCAGAGCTCATTTATTTACATTGAAAAGCATTCAAAGAGAAAACGACTGACAATTCTGTTCGCTGGAAGTTTCCGTCGTTGGTCTGCTATCGTTTTACCCATCTTGTGATTTTTGCTGACTGTATTTTTCAATTGGTTACTAGTTTTTTATTCCAACAAGAGGATCCCATGTGAAAGTGTGTGGATCTTCCTTTCCAATACAGCTATTCAGAATATATCGCGTTATGCACATGACTCTCGTGCTGAAGCTGATGGATTACTGTCCCACAGATTGACGAAAAAGGACAGTTGTTCGACTGAAAAGTTTCTCACTGTTCCATTGGAGTTCGATTCTTCGGAGGTACAATAATTCATTGGTAAAGGTAACAAAAAGAACCAATTGGGGGATTCCCTTCAACAGGTATTCGGTACTCTTGACCAGGAATAAGCCAGAAACATAATTGTCCGCTACGCTATCCGATCACACATGAAGTTCATCAATGTTACACTAAATGCCTTACACTGACCTAACTGGTCAAAACGAAGTAAGCGCGGATGTGTGCATGAACTCAGTAGTGGTGATCGCTGTTGCAACAACAAAGAACTGAAAAGTTCAGCACCTTTGAGCCTTTCAAATCCTTTCGCTCTGCAAGATAAACTTGTGGATTTACACGAATAGACAACGTATGACGACTCAGAGGTTACCTCACTGCTTTCATTATCAATTTGCGTACGACAGTGGTGAAACATCAAAACTTAATACTCGCCCTTCTGTCTGCTGACCAGCGTCCTCTATATCACTCAGCCCGCCAAGCTGACTTGTGTGAACGAGCACAGAGCACCTAAACGGCTGTTCACCCGCAGCCATCAGCTTAATACCTTGGCGCTGATCAATTATGGTAACTAAGTTGTTAGACAGGCTGTCGAGCTCTCCGGCGGGTTAGCCGGAGAAAACGCCGTGACAAAATGCGACTTTGCGTAGGGCCAACTAACTTATACTTGGTGGAGTCCCATGGTTACCTTGACGACACGCCGTTAAGTGTACGGTTGCGACTGACCGGTCGATCTGGATAAATTCTTCGCTTGCACTTTTTCAAAAATATCAACCAGGTATAATGGTTTTCTCTATAAATGCTAATCAGTCCAAACAAAAAACGGAATCCAGCAAGCAGAAAAATGAAATGCTACTATCCGAAGATAACAGACGTTTGCAAGTGTATAAACGGATCCATCGACGTACTACAGGTCACCGAAAATAGTCGGATATCGTAGAAATGTTGTATGACGGATACGTGCCGTAAGTCGGCGAAGAACAAGAGGACGTCACTAGTCCGTGCCATTTTTGTCGCGTGAAATTCATATGAGAATTCGATTCCTGTATTAGGTAGTCTGAAGATCTGCTATAAGACTAGCGAGAGAACCTCTTATATCACTCCACTGCAAGATTCGCATAACAATCACGTTGCAAGTCTAACATGCACGATGATCACCGTTAAACATTGAATGCAAAAGTGTTTCAAAGGAGCACAGACTCAGCCGGTATACATCATCAAGACTTTGAAGGGGACCCTGCAGACAAACGCAGAAAACGTTTGTTGTGGATGTGAATTTGGGACGATAGATTAATGCACCTATATCCCAGAGTTCGCCGAACGACTGACAACCACGACAAAAAAGTAAACGTTAAAACTATCTAGTGTACACTTGGAACAGATGCCTAATGCGCCGTCACTAGCTTTCATTTAGGCTTTTGAAAGCTACATATCCTAAAGGTGAGTAGCTAGTTGGAGGATAGCTGTGAAGCATTTTGATCGGTCCGTTTGCGAAGTCCTTAGAATTCTGACTTATCGGGTTCAAGTAGTTCGTTGGATACGTGCATTACTGTAATTTTGTTCTTGTTTTTCACATTTTATTGGAAATTTGACTTAGCAACTCAAGTCTGCCTATGCTAAAGGTTCGCGAAGCACCAGATAGCTGTCTCAACTTTGTTTGGGCTCGCCAGAAGTGCAAAATCTAACAAAACCTTAAGATGATTCGAACCCGCATCCTGCCACCATGTAGTTGAAGACTATATTGTTCGGCTACTAGTGGCTGATCAGCAATATGGTCAATTAGTCACGAAATTTATGAGATGGGCACTGCTGATGTGACCCAACAACCCCGAAACAGACATTCAATGCTTCATACACAATGATTCCTCAACTGGAAATTTCATCCTGTAAGTGAAGCCAACCTATGCTGAACAACGGAGAAGCACTGTAAAGTTGTTTCATCCTTACTGGGAATCCGGATGAAACAGCTGTGCAGAGCTTCTCGGCGTTTCGGTATCAATTGGCCTCACTTACAGGACGAAATCTCTGTTGGACATCACCAAATACCACGGCATAGATTGACTCCACTTACAGTATGAAATTTCATTATCCTCGTACCACTGGAGATCCGTCTTGTGTTCAGGTTTGGTTAGCTGAACACCATAGTCTCTTTGATTGTTTGAAGACGAATTCCGTCGTGTTGTGGTCCGATTTACCGTCACTTGGTTGAATAACTTGCCTTTTATCCTGTTTGATCGGACTGTGATAAAAACCAGCCGAAATGGCGTGGTGACCAAGGCTGTAAGCCACTGCAACGCTGAGGAAGAGTAGCCTACAACAAGTCACGGTGTTCTGGGTGTTTGGGACTTCGCCCAAATGTTTAGATGACATACGGAAATGACTTAGAGAAACAAAAGGGACTAACACCGAGGACCTGTATAGAACAAACCAAATGAGGACAGAGTGTTCGAGAAATGAACGTGTGCGAAACCGTTGAGAGCACGAAATGACAAAAGTGATGACAATAGCTCCCTCGTGGAACAAACAGCACTCACGGTGTGCGTTGTCTTACTTGCGCAAGCGACTCAAAAAGGAAAGGAAATACCGAACATCGCGAGTAAACATTGATACACTGAATTTATTCACGTAACGTAATGATATGTACTAAGGCAATCAACAACTGAATGTTTCAGCCAGTTCTCACTCCGTTATTAGAGTTCCAAGAAGATGGGGAAAACGCGAGGACGTTCTCTTTGTCTTTTCGCCAACACAGCGTACACAAACCCACGAATATCAGCAGCATGGACACCACGCCCCAAGAAGGCAACTTCAATTATCAGGGTTGGTGACTTATGGCAGAGTTGAATTTTCAATATACATGAAGCGCTTCTGAGATGTAGTGACTTTACAGCACCATATCGAAATCTTAGCGTTACGAAACAAGTTCACCTGTTTCCTTTTGCTTTCCTAGTAATCGATGTTGGGTCGACTCATGAAGTCGGGATGCGTAAAAAATACACTGACACGCTCAAATCCAATATATATTTTAAAAATGCTTGTACTGATATGATACCTGTGATAAGATTTGGAGCATAATGCACCGAATGCGAGCAGCGACGGGGCTGAAAAATCAGCTCCGTACAACTCAATGATGAACAATATTAACGGAATTTTGTGATGTCCCTAGACCACTGGACTATCCAGTTCACACAGTTCAGTCTACCTACTATAGCACCCTTTCGGTGTCTGACTGCCACACCACCCGAAGAAAACACGAGAGCTGGGATAGTGCCAGGATGCCCAAGCCTAGATAGCGGAAGTTGAGATACAGAAGTCGGGTTCGAACCACGAACCTTCTAACCACTGAGGCGTCTCGCTCCTATCAGGTATCACGGATTCAAGCTGCTGAAGCCGAACCCATCGGAAAATGGGAAAGATATACCTAAGAACTGGAGGTGATGGCATAAACATATAGATCGCATTGAATCATTCTAGCTATCTAATGGAAAACTGGACAGCCATGCATTGCAGGCGGTAGCTTTGGTGCGACTGCACCACTGACTGCGATAATGGATCATTCGGTTTTTAGAGTTTGCCTAAAAGTTCCGCCAGACCTAATAAATTCATGGGCAACGCGGCGACCGGCTGTAAAGGAAAAGTTTCATACTAACTGTGCCAAAGTTAAAATCTTATCCAAATAAAGTAGATGAGCTCACTTGCATTACGTACAGAGCTATCTGGTGTATGGGAACGGGATCACGAAGACTTGCACGAGTATGAAGTAGCCATCAAAAGCGTGTCACTCTCGTGTTTCATCGCAACAGCCTGTCTATCAGGTAAACATGGCTGAAATGTGGGTATTCAGGTCTAGTTCTTGTTTTGATATAAGAAAGGCTACTGTGTACACGCTGCAATTCAGGAAGATACAACATCTGCGATAAGAGTCATTTGCTCCCCAGTCAGTTCTCATGAAAGTGATTCTGAATGATTTTGTTTCAAATAACACGTATTTCTGTATTCCCATCGAAAAATGGGTAATTGGTAACATGAAAATATTGTAGTGGTTATGGAACAATAGTAAATGTACGAAGCAAATGCACGAATCCATTACATTGTTGTTTCAACCCCCACTCAGTCAACTTAAAGTAAGCCGAGCGAGGAGGATGAAACGCAGTTGGGCTACGGACAGTTCTGTCAAACTGGTAGTTTGTGATTCTTCGGCAGGTATGCGTTACTACTAAATGGGCCGGCTTTTCTTGTTATTTACTGAAGCAGGAGTAGTCAAGAAACCAATCAGTAGGGACTAGTTTTAACAAAATATCATATGTGGTTCCTCATACACTCAAACTGAACGACCCTACTGGAGGGAGAAAACTCAAAGCAGTAATCCCAACGGAGGAAGACGGGGATAGGTTTGGCATTTACCGCGAAAAGGATTTATTTAGGTCATGGCGTCCGAAGTTAATGTGACCTTCATGAACGTTCTTCGGAAAAGTCTCTCTTAGAGAAGGTTATGTGGTACCGGGTAACTTTTTAGAAAGAGGTCATGTGTTATGAACACTCTCCGGTGGTGTCAGCAAAATCAGCAGTTGAAATAAACATAAAACATTTTGAGTGATCGTCCTGGTTAGTAGTGTCAATGACCAATGCAATAAAGCCCGGTTAGCTGGGGGCAGTAAACACCATGGGTTCTAAACACGATGCAACCACCAGTGGACTGCCAGGGAGTTTCCATCAATCGTATATGGTATGGTGTCAGGCACACACATCCATGCACGGAAGCGTACCTAACTAGACACGCACGCAGAAGCGTTCCAGGTATCCCGTTTCTTCTTTTTGCTTTCCTATCGTCTCATATAGCCTGATTCAGGACGTACCTTCTTATCAAATCGTCATCAAACTTCCAAAGTTTTACACTTTGTTTGGGTATCAATATTAAGAAAACCCAGTTGTTAAGGCGCAACAGACAGAGAGGCTCGTGGTACCAACTCATTCTGTGGTTAGTCCCCATCATTATGAAACCAAATGGGCCTCAAATCTGTCTTGATGTGCACGGTAGCTGTACATCGAGAAAGTGTTGCAGCAAAAAGACTCAGCAAAGACTCGCTTCACTTGGATATTCCATCTCTGCGCATGAACTTCCACGTAGCGTCAGGACAACATGTACTGACATAGAAGAGTTACGAACTGAAGGGATCGGGAACTCACACCAGTGCAACGTTTGCCCAGAGGGATCCGTATCCATCAATCATTGTTGAATAAAATCAACAACGAAAAAGGCAGCAAGTGACCGAAAGTTGTGAAAAAACGAGCGCAAGTACATTGTCTTTCCGGCGAATATATACATCATCATAACTGAGCACCGTTAAGGCTTGAAAAACGTTATCGGAAGAAAGAATGAGTGCAAAGATGTAAAAACACTCATTGCTCAGGTTAATAACGAATGATGTGAGGCTACTTATCACCCTCGCCGCATATGAAGGCAAATATGATCAGGATGAATACAGCAACATGTTACGTAACATAAAGATGTAGATGGCTATACGGAGAAAGTCAGATTGCAGGATATGCCAATGGGTGTTGGACAGAGAAGTGCGCATGAGGACGAAAAGAACGGTGTACATTACTAACCTGTTTCGACTGCGTCATACAGAAACACGATTCAAAAGAAAAAAAGGAACACATCACATGTACAGAGTGCGAACAGTGGTACAATGAAACATCAAGAATAAAAAGAAATTACCGTGACGCATTCCAGATGAGAAACAGAGTGTTGCTCCATACATTATGAGAGTGAGCATGAGTACGAAGCTTCTTCTGAATGGCGTTCAGCAAGAGCTGTTGAATAGTTATCAACAAATAAAGTCACACAACTAGAGCCTTATTTCCGGTTCGAAAGCCCGATCGATGACTTGTTTCGAAATGTACGGACTTGACGAAAGAGAAAAGCGAACCAAATATCTCTACATGGTTTGTCTGATGCAGTTCGCATTCAGTCTTACTCCGAAAATACACAACAGATGACCCACTTTGAGTAGGAGAAAAAGCATCTGTTCTGCCGCCGACGAATGACAACTTGAACCACAGATGTGAATCTTCAATTCACAACAACAACCTAGTTAGTTCGGTGAATTGTGTGCGTCTTCCTTCACACGAGATTCACTCAGAAAGCACGAAATGAACACACTCGAGTACGACTACATACGGCTGACCATGCGGTTCGACCATCCTGTTATAAATCAATTTCGATTTCGATTTAATTTGCTACACCGAACAACGCTAGAGAGCTTCAGTAAAACATTTCACCCATGATCTACTTTTTTTGATATCGTGAGGCGGCGTTATCAGATTTTGTGCTAAACGTCTCCCGGCTGAGCGGAGGACCAAGTTTAAAGGTCGGTCCCAGTAAATCAGGCATGCACAGTTGGAAAATCTAAGAATTGGACAGATCTTCTCGAGCTGACCAGACATTCGGTACATCCAACATCCACGGGAACAGACAGGGGAGTAGCGTGATCTCCACACCTACTCCCACGGTTGCAGAGCTTATAGAGTTCATAAAGGTCTTAGCTGGAGAACTTACGTAATTGCCGAACTGATATATTTCTGCTTGCCTCATCTACACAATCAGCAGGAAGAGCTTGATTGCGATCCTCAGAGTCATTCGAAATTCGGGAGCAAGGCCTGTCACCGAAACTATGTCACAAGATCGGTTAGGAAAACGTCCAACTGACGTGTACAGTACTCATAAGGTTGCCGAAAATTCTTCGACAGTCCGCAACCAGTTTCACCCTTCTTAGGGCTAATCAAGTGGGTGCAGTCCCCGAGTTTCCGTCAGCCTTATGCTCTACTTGAATCCAAACCGCACGAAATTAGCGGAATACGCTTGTATATTGTACCAGCTGAAACGTGAAGCGGCCTGGTACAGCACATTCGGTTGCTTAAAAACATCATAAACGAGAGATTCCGCTGGCTTCCAGGTGAATCTCCCGCAAAACCAAATTTGTTTCGCTAAAGTCAGACCTACTTCGATGGTCGCAGACAGACGAACCAACAGGCGACTGATATACCGTCTTTGCTGGTCGCTCCTAAAGTACTTTGGGATGCAATTCCTCACCTTGAACAGACAAATCAAATCCTAATAGGATTGTGTATGGTTCGTTCTCTTTATCCCTCAGATTGCAACCGAGAAACGTCCGGGTTACTTTGTATGTGTAGCTCCAACACACAAGACAGCAGGATGGACAAAGGAAGCCTGATGAGCACTCCTCACGAGATAATTCAAAGGTGGAAAGATGCATCGGGAAACAAGAGTGAACAAGAGTGAAAGAACAACGACGGCAACAATGTTGCATGAACAGAAAACACTATGAGTGCTTGGTCTGTATCAGAGAGAAGAAACAAACCTTCAAAGGACTGGGTTTTGTCACCTGAGGTAAATGACTTGCAGATGCTGAACGTGCTCGGACCCACAAGGAATGAGTGCGAGGATCAGAGATCTGATGTGCAGGTATACCAGGGTCGATGACATTACCAGGTGGTCGACTAAGCTGAACAGATGTTCGCCCATCCGGATGGCCGAGACCCCGTAGGACGGCGTGTGTATGTCGTCTGGCATAGAGTGATCCAGCATTTTTCAGGTCCAACTCGAATTTGTTATTCATATTATCACCATGAGTGAATGTGGACGGTTGGATGGGATCACGTGACCGTGATTGGCCCATTGGATGAGTCAACGAACAATGTTTGTGAAGGACCACAATCCATTATCTCCGAATTTGAACACTCGAGGACCAGTGACACTCGGTAGTGGTGAGATAACAGGTGAGTAGGGATGCTTCTCAGGAAGGGCAAAAACAACAGGAGAGTTAAATTTAACTTCGATTGATTATGCTTCAGTTAAGACGAACCTACACCGAACTTGAGGAGGCCCGACCTCAAGTTGTGTAAATTAGAATAGCACAGTGATACCAATAATGAAAACTGATTAGAATAAATGAAATTGCGCTTAAAGTACAGGACCAGATGATCAACCTGTTGCCTCTGGCCACATTCAGAACGTTTACCGAAGGTGAGCATGACTCATCCCATTTAGGTGATACGAAAATGTGTATGGTTTATGGGACGTCCTCAGTTAGTAATAAAGGGCGATCACTGTTGATAGTCCTTCGGTTCGAGAAAAATATGCATTGAAACAAAATTGCGGTTTTAAAGAGGACACGAGCTTCTGACTGGTTTCTGACCCAACTAACAAGGGCGGTATCCTAATATTCAATAACCGTTGGGAATATAAGGCCGAGTAATACCACAGCGCGGTCAAAAATGGTTTCTACCTTGGGTCCAAGGTATTCCAAGGTAACAGGTTCTTCAACCTGAAAATAACAGGTTGCGTGTAACAGCGAACAGTACACACCTAAAGATAGGTGAAGATTTCGCACTCTTCTTTCCATTTGGCTACAGAATTCGACCCCTCGTTTCTGCACATTCTTTTCTACAGGGAGACTAGATCCCTGCTGATATGAAGGAAAACACGCTGGAGTCTTCTTGGAATAACACATTACTCATAAGACTGTGTGAAACTCTTCGACAGTGCGGTACCGGATTCATTCTTCAGGCACATGTCGATTTTCTATCATTCTTATTTTCCACTTGAATACTAAACTGTACGTAGTTGGCGAAATGCAGTCGTTTGCAGATAAGTGTATTTCAACATTAAACAATCGCTCGGAGGTAAAAACGGATGGTTTCAGCCGGTAGAACCAGAAATATAACAGCATTCTTGCATCTGTGTCATCAATAGCTTTATTAAGTGGATCTGGCGATGTTTGCATTTCACCTTTGTTAATTCTCCCAGGGAAAAACAAATGAAAACTATAGAACATCGTTAAAGTGAGGGTTTCGCTAGGTTCGCGATAATTCCTACAATAGGCTGTTCGCTCTCCACTTTTGCGGAATGATCCAATCGCTGCTTGATTTCCATACACTATGCCGCGTGTTATACGAGCTGGTCAGAGTGTTCTGTGAAGTACTGTAACCTGCCTGTAGTTCAAAGTTCACACTGGAGATATAAGCATTTTATGGGCAGACTTTTCCGCAAAGATTGTAGTCGGTAAATTCAAAGGAAGACTCACTGGCCAAAGTGTGTTGGTGCGGCATGTTAAGGCTACTTCATCAAATATACTGATCACACTTTAACATACCTCTGTATATGTATGAGTCCAGCAGTATCAGGTACATGTTCTGGACACTGGAATCCTCATTCTAAAGTGTCCTCGTGTTAACTAAACTGCATTGATGAGATCATTGGTATCGACTTGGATCGTTTTTGAGGGAATGCCCGTTGGTGTTACTTTACCTAGACTTTGAGAGAAACCACAATTTGACCAGACTACAAAGGCCTATCTATCCTCGGACGCACCTCTCTGTGGAGGCAGATTACCCCTCCCTTAATACGTCTTTCTTAGGGAGGTATACTCACTCTTAAGAGGAGGAATCACCGTGTTTCAGCATACATTCGAAACGAAAAAATGGGAAATATCTGTTCAATAATTCTCGATCACAAAAACTGCATGCGCAGGCCGTGCCTGATCTAATAAGGGCCCGCAACAAGTGTAACGATCAATCAGAGCGCTCAGTTCTCTCTAACTCAATGTTCCAGTATCCAGTCCAGGACAAGCACACAGCTCAAAAACCATAAATGTGACACTTCATGCTCGACACTTGCCGAATTTAAGAAATCTGTGATGTTCAGAACGTCGAGAATCGGTCCTTCGAAGAGATCTTTGGTACTTCACTCGAGTGAAGTCGGTAATTCCCCTGTGCGCCAGGTTGTAGGGTACAATGACCAAAGATGACAAAGAGGACAGTCCATCAGTAAACTATAGTCAGGTGGTGGCTTGCATCATCATCTAAAACTCCAGTGATGGAAGAGCTAAACTGTTTATAGCATTGCATACGAAAAGGAATCAGTGCCAAACTGCGGAAACGGATGTCGCATGTGTAAACGGAAGGATTAAAAAGAGATTAAAAAACGAACTGGAATCCGACATCCATGATACATAACTTACAACTCAAATGCGGAGTCAGCAAGCAAAGTAAAATTGCTTTAGCCTTGCTGAAAATCCATCGACAGCCCACGATCGGTTTCGCCCTTCTTGGGGCTCATCAGGTAGGCGCAGTCCCCGGGTTTCCGTCAACCTTATGTTCTACTTGAAACCAAACTGCACGAAATTAGCGAATATACACTCATCTGCAAACTAATTTGGTTCTTTCGAAAAACTCACCTGGAACCCAGCTGAATCTCTCGTTTTTTATGATGTTCTCAGGCAACTGAATGTGCTGCACCAGGCCGCCTCATGTTTCAGTCGCTACGCTATTTGAAATATCGCGATACACGTATATGTGTAATGTACTACTCATAAGGTTGCTGAAAATCCATCGACAGCCCACGACCGGTAGTACATTACACATATACATGTATCGCGATATTTCAAATATCGTAGCAACTGAAACATGAGGCGGCCTGGTGCAGCACATTCAGTTGCCTGAGAACATCATAAAAAACGAGAGATTCAGCTGGGTTCCAGGTGAGTCTCTCGAAAGAACCAAATTAGTTTGCAGATGAGTGTATATTTGCTTTAGCCTTGTTTCAAATCATCAGTCATGCGCATCTCATGAATTTCTTGGGAGACACGAACCCGGAACTTCCAAGTTAGCCAACACTACGTAGATATACCAGAAACTAAGCTACGCTTAATACATACATACATATATACATATATATTAGGGTCACTGCTCTAATCAAGGACTTCGAGTCCCATGATTATAGTGTTGGCTAGCTCCTAGATTGACGAATATCCAAGGGGAATCTCAGACCATTTGAATAATCGTTAACTATAGACGCTCTGACGATGAAGATAGCCGCGAGCCGAAATCCATTCTCCTCCAGAATCCAAAATACTAATCGGTCCCATTGACAGACTAATACGGTTTCTGTACTCGACAAGGTTTCACGCGTTCATCAACGGTTTCCTCATCAAACATTGTCCTCGAATGTCCTTTTTGATGCTAATGACGGGCGGCTGAAAACCCTTTGATCATGTTGAAAAAGTCTCCACTCACGATCCACGGAACTTTGATATTGAGGACTAGTACTTCATTTCTTGCCCGATGAATTCTTTAGAGTGTCAATTCAGTGAATTTTCGGTGTTCGGAAAAGGCGGTATTGGAGGTACCGGCTCATAGCTCTAACTCGTAATAATTCAGTTACGATCCTTAGTGCGGAGAATAGGACAGAGATAAGTACAATGCTTTGGCTCGTTGACAGCCGATTACCTGGTGGAATTATTTGAACTACACACAACACCGAAAACATATCGTACCTACCAACCGGTTTCCTTCGGTGAAGACAAACAAAGCGCTCTACACACCTAGTGAACGGCGTCAAACGAGTTTCACGACGAAACACGCTCTATGAACAAGAAATGGTTCTTCTTAAATAAATTTCTTAGAGTCTACATCGATTTTCCCATGAAAGATGCTATCGAAACACCTGTATTTATGCTACCAGGCGGAAACTAATGGATTCGCGTCTCGTGCAATCATATAATCGGTACCTTGGCATGGATATATATCATACGATGAGGTGAGTCAGTAATCATTCAATCTTGGGTGGGGATCCACAGTGGGACCGGATAGATGTTAGGATTTATGACTAACCCAACCGACACCAGAGGTGGTGATGTGACATAAAGGTTGTGTTCACACACACACACACACATGTTGCGGGAGTAACCCTTTTGCGATCAGGTCCATATCTTATCTGTTGTACGGCGGTGAATTGTGCACCACACACGCCAGACTTTACAGGGGGGTACCATACTGATTAAGTTGGCGCTTAAATCGCGGAAAAGCGAAATATCATGGATTGAAAACAAAAAAAGAACAGGAGCTGTTGTCCTCTGGGATATCCTAAAGTGTGATGCCACCATACTGAGCTTGTGGGTAGTAGATGGATCTGCATAGCACGCACATTTGAATATCTATCGTTAGACAGATATTCAATGTCTTAGAGATTCTATCTGGGGAATTTGTCATCTGGGCTGTAAAGACAGGAAGAAGATTTGGGTCTCGAAAATCACACAACGTGGAAACGATGGTGTCAGGTAACGTGAACACAGAGAGTATGGTTGCAGGCAGCTTTTGTCACCGTAGTTGCCCTCTGTTTTGCACGCCCTGACTTAACTAAGAAAGAGAGAAGCATATATGTACATTTGTATACAAAACGCTGGCGCGATCAACTACTAACCAAAATAAGCTCTGTTTCGCACGAGTGTAACTCATTAATATTCTACGGTTGAAAGCTGCTCAGGCTTGGAAACAGTAAAACCAATCACGGAGACCGCAGACTGAGCTGATCGAAAATGGCCGATTCAGACGAATCAGCGCTATAGTGCGTTGTAATCTGAGATGTGATCGGGGCTGAAGACGTTTGATACGAAGCTTTAAGTCTTTATCTTTGGAGAATTAACGCTGCAAATGGTGATCTTTTAGGGGGTGAATCTGACAGCTTTTGCTACCGGAAAGGCTAGAATTCATCCCATACTGGCTGAAACAGGACTCGGACGAAACCAGTCACCGAAAAAGTTGGAGAACGTCCCCCTGAAGCCTTACCTAACTCAATACATTGAACACACAACAGGAACAAAAATTGTTCTGGGAATTC